GGGGAAGTCCCCTAGTGGCCGACACCTAAGATTTTCAGAAAATAAACTAAAAACTACTTCGACAAATGTAAGTTTATTTATGAATTAACTACGTAAAGAAAATGTAAAATCGAAATAAATGAACAAAAATGCAACTTCTGCGTAAGCATACTTAGAACCATATGTTAAACTTTGGTAACCAAAACTGCAATCACTGCAAGCGGCACCTAGTACCGGACATTTTCGAAACATCCTGCATATATAGCTCTCTGAACACTCAGGGATGTCTGTACATTCTTCATGAGCCCACCCTCTACAGCTGGAGCACTGTATCTAGTCTTCGTTGTGGTCCTCTAAGCACACTACGCAAATAGTTCTTCCAATGTCAGATACTTCAGTTAACGGTTCCTTCTTTGCTTTTCCACTTTTTCCTTTGACTTTTATTCCTTTGGTTTGTTTCCCCATCTCGCCTATTGCTGCTTTAAACCTTTTTCCCAATCTTTTCTTTTTGTCTTTAACGTTCTCTTCATTCTCTTTTTCTTCAACGGCAATTTTGTACGGGATGATGTTAGAATTTCACTTTTTTCACATTTTCTCCTCCGAGCCGCTGACCGTTTTTTGGAAGCATCGGGAAATGGGGATAAATTATGCACAACCTGGACAATATTTGGATCAAAACTCGTTGATGGCTTGGGACTGCTGGTTGTTGGTTCGTGGGTAGATCTGTTAAGAGTGTCTTTGGATTCTTCTGACACCAAATTGTTAGACAATTCTGCATCGCAGAAAGTTGATGAGCTACCAGCAAAGGCCAAATCAGTGGAATACACGGAAACTTCCCCGGTGCAACCTGGTGCGTTTGAGGAAGTTCCTGGCTCTTCTAATGGAATATTGGTCACGTCTGCAAGCAAATAATCCAGGTCAGAAAATATATGTCTTTCGAATGGGTGAATACCTGTATATTTGAACTCAAAGATCGCAATATCTACTCGAGCTACTTTTGTAAACGCTTCATTGGCCAGACCAGCAATATCGTAGTCGGTTATCCCAGATTCAACATTTGCTCTGATCCACATCGCGCATCGTTAGTTGTAGGTAGTCTTAAATGGCTTCATGTACTGTCTAGTGTATCTATGGCTGGTGTGTGGTGATATGCTTATCAAATAAATGTTATTTTATAGGGCTCTCTTTCGTCGGGTGTGAATGTTTCGCGAATAGCTGCAACCATTGTAGCAAAAAATCACTATTCATCCAGCCTTTTGGCTGGGCCACGCCAACGATTTCGACTGGAGCATTAATCATGAGCCGATCATTCATCCTTTGCCTAGGAAATACAAAAAATGGCGGTATGAAGTGGCCGTTAACAGTCATGCAAAACAAAACTGTTATATTTTTGCCCCTTTCAGCAGAAGTAACCTTTCCTACTTGACGTACAGAGTTCGGAGCAAAAACTTTTTGATGTTTATGCACGCAGCTCACTCCAGTTTCATCACAGTTATAAATATTGGAAGGTTGAAATTTGTATTTTGTCATCAGCTTTTCCAAGTTGTCATAAAGAAGATCTACTTGCGGTTTGTTAAACCCTATGGCTCGCATCATGCTCGTCGACTCAGGTGTTTTCAGCCATATATCTGGATGCCTTTGCATGAAATCGTAGTAAAAGTGTTTCCCGGCAACACCTTTCTCCTTATTAAAACGATGAGGATTCTTCAAAGCTTCAATTTCTATCCGTTCATCTATCCTCTAAAACAACGTATAACAATTATTATTATAACAAATATAAATTCTTCCGAAAAAAAAAACAACTTATTTACTGTCTGGTGTTAAGGG